TATATATATATATATATATATAATTTTTTAAAAAACAAAAAAAAATATCACCGGGTAGCCGTTTTACCTTCCAGTTCTGAAATCATAGATTCGTGCTTATTTTTCAGCTTGGTAAGATTCTTGGCTTTTTCTTCCTCTTCTGCAAGATTTGTTGTTAAGTCACTAATCCTCTCTTCAAGGAGTTTTCGCTCCTTTGGGGGGAAAGAAAAAGAAATATCATTCGTTTTTTCCTTTTCTCCAGGGTCTACATTTCACTGTTAGTAATTTCCAGATAAACAGTTGAAAGGAAAGCCCACATTATAACCAAATGCAGCCTAGAGTTTTCAACGGGGAAAGAGAAGTTCCTTAACAATAATAATTTCCAAAGATTGACTACTCCTCATCTCAGGCCCCTCCACCCCTCAACTTCATGTCCCAGCCAGGGGGCCCCTCTTTCCTTTCCTACCACAGGCCAGCTCCTCCCAGCCTCAGGGCTCTTGCACAGACGGGACCATCTGCTTGGGATGTGCCTCCACCCCCTCTCCTTCTAACTGCTTCTCACTATTCAGGTTTCCACTTAAATGTCACTTCCTCCAGGAAGCCTCCCCTGAATCCCACCCCTCATCCCCTAGTGCTCTGGTCTTATAAGATGGTGAACACCTCCTTCAGAGTCCTGATCACAATGGCAATTAACGTTTGCGTGTATGACTATCTACTTGCTGCCTCACTAGGATATAAGCCCTACGAGGACAGAGTCCTCCTCCACTGTGCGTGCCCTGCACCTGACATGGACTGGCTCGCAGTCGGTGCCCAGCTCAAAGGACTAAAGGTAGTCCGCCTCAGTGGGGCTGCTTAGTGGTTACTGACTAGGGTGACCTAGTCATCCTGGTTTACACTGAGACATTTCCGTCTTAGGGGCTGAAAGTCCCACATCCCAGAAACCCTTCGGTCCCAGGACAGCTGGTTCCCCTATTACCAACCGCAAATAGACGGTGAGAATGTGAGAGGGGCCCCTGAATCCAGGCACATTGCCCTCCCACCCTTGTATAACTTGGGGGTTCCACTGGTCGTGGTGTTTCTGAGACTTGCTCCGTGGCAGCCCTGGTGCTGGTGGGACCACCGGGGACCCCATCCATGGCACACCTGCATCCAGACGGCAGTCACAAGGCCGCCACGTCAATGCTGGACGTAACTACTTGCTCAGCCTTCAATACCTTGTCTCTGACTAAAAAGGGAAGGCATCTGGAGTCCTCAGCCCTCATGAGCCTGTCATTTTAACAAAGACGCTCAACCCCACTCACTTTTGACAGTTTATTGTTCTGATCATCCATGACCAGAATATCATCCTCCAGTTTCTTGATCTTGGCCTCAGCCGTGACCTTCTCAAGTTGTAGCTTCTGCCTGGCAGCTTCCTCTTCCTCCAGCTGTTCTTCCAGGTCCTTTGTGGGGGAAGGAAAAGAATCACAACCTTGCTTAAAACAAAGTCACTCTCCCGGAGCTCTGGGGACTCATGGATACAGAGGCTTAGCCTGATGGCCCCCTGCAGTGCTCTGCCATCTCCTTTCATCACAAAGAAAAGGTTTGGGTAAGCCACTTTCCTTTGTGGAGCCTCAGTCTCCTCCTCTGTAAAATGGGGATAGTAGAAACCATGGTGGTTTAAAAATATGTCCATAAATTCTTTGATACTCTTCCCTTCAAGAGGTGGAGCCTAATTCTCCTCCCCTTGAGTGTCAGCTGGACTTAGTGACTTGCTTCTAACAAATAATATCAAGAGGAAGTGACGGAGTGTATAAGTCAGAGATTAGGCTATAGAAGGCTTTGCAGCTTCCTCCCTGTTGTCTCTTCATTCACTCCATCTGGGGAAAGCCAGCCACCACATTGTGAGGGCACTCAAGCAGCCCTATGGAGAAGCCCACATAGTGAGGAATGGAGGCCTCCTGCCTACAGTCGTGTGAGTGAGCCATGTGCAAGTGAGTCCTCCAGCCCCAGTCCAGCCTTCAGATGCTGCAGCCCAGGCTGACATCCTGACTGCAACCTTGTGCGGGGCTCTAAGCCAGAATCACCCAGCTAAGCCACTCTCAAGAGTCACGACTGTGTGAGATAAATGTTTGTTATTTCCAAGCTGCTAAGTTTTGGGGTGTTTTGGTTCTGCAACAATAGCTTACTGATACAATTACCCCTCACCCAGGGTTGCTATTAGGAAGAAAGGTGTTTGCACATGAAAGGCAGGGCAGTAGAACTGAGCAGGCTTCCACGGAGACCTTTGTGGGCAGATGGTGGTTTCTCTCCGAGCCTTAGTCTCTTTCTCTGTCCAAAGGGGACATACAACGTCAGATGCACCTCACAGGCCTGCCGTGAGGGTCAAGGGATTTCGTACCCACCGAGGGCTGCCCCTGCAGTGCCTTACCAGCATCTGCTGGGCCATCTTCTTCCGTTCTGCCTGCAGCTGCTGGCCCCGGTCTTCCTCCTCCTCCAGGCGGGCCTCCATCTCATGCAGGATCTCCTCCAGCTCCTGCTTCTTGGCTGCCAGCCGGACCCGCATCTCCTCGGCCTCCGCGTACAGCTCCGTCTCTGCCTGCAGCTGCTCCTGAAGCAGGTTCTTCTCCTCGGTCAGCTGCATGCAGAGGGTGGGGAGACGGCCCGTGAGCCCCACAGGAGCAGGCTTCCTGCCCTCCACGGCCCCGGCCAGGCTCCCGGCCCGGTACCTGCGCGTGTTTCTGGCCCAGCTCCTTGAGCTCGCTTTCTGCCTTCTGCTGCCGCTCCTTGGTCTTCTGCAGCTCATCCTCCTTGGCCTGCATCTCCTCCTCCTGCCTCGTCACCTGCAGCAGGGGCTTCACCTGCACACACAGGGTCAGCCCGTCACTTGCTTTCGTGGCACAAGGGAAACACTCTCGTAATAAATACATCAGTGGTTCTCAGCAAGGGACAATTTTACCCCACTCGCAGATCCTAATGGGATATTTGGCAATTTCTGGGGGCAGTTTTAGCTGTCACAACTGGGGTGGGGAATGCTACTGGCATCTAGTGGATATAGGCCAGGGATGCTGCCCACCATTCTAGAATGCTCAGGACAACCCCCCCGGCACAGAATTATCCATCCCAAAATATCAGCAGTGCTGAGATTGAAAAATCCTAAATTAGAGCAATGGGAAAAGGTGCAGAGTGAAAGGAGAAAGTCTCCTCTCCCCCCATTTAGTCCCATCCTGAGAGAGAACTGCTGCCGACAAACTGATATGTTTCCCTCCAAAGAGAAAAGGAAAGAAAATCCCCTACATCCTACCTCCCATTCTCAGCATTGTCCTACACATTAAAAAAATATACCTGAGATCACGCTGCCCAGTGTTACATGCTGCTTTTTATTTTTGGCTGCGCTGCACGGTTTGTGGGATCTTAGTTCCCCGACCAGGGATTGAACCCAGGCGCCTGGCAGTGAAAGCGTGGAGTCCTGACCACTAGACCGCCAGGGAATTCCCTACTTGCTGCTTTTATTACTAAAAGCTATAAGATAATTATCACCCCATGCTGTCCCATCAGCTTTACAACTTGACTTGTAGATAACCATCATTTTTAATGGTTGAAAAATATCCCATTGATGGATGAGCTGGTGTGAGTCAGTCTGCCAGGGCTGGGCATTGAAATTTTGCTCTTGTAAATGAATGTCCTTCATTCTTGATTTTATTTCAGATGGTTTTCTGAGAAGAGTTTTCTAGAAGTTGGGTCAGTGGGGATGAACATTTCCAAAAGCAGCTTCCCCTCACTGCTCTTCACCAAGCTGACTCTTAACTCCTGTGTTCAAGCCCTGCCTGGCACTAGGGGAGCCCCTGTCAGACACACTGTGGCTTCCTTCCTGTGCTGATCCCAGTCTGCCGTGGGCATTGGTTCCTGTGCAGACCCCACCTGCTTCCCCACTCGACTAGAATATTCATGAGGCCACAGGGCATCCCTAGCACCTTGCATGTGTCTGGTGCACGGTAGTTACTCAATACATACTTGCTCAGTAAAAAGGTTTGTGCCCATTTACACACTCAAGGGCACCTAAGAGAAAGCCATGTCTGTCCCTGCAGAGCAAGTCTTTGCACGATTGGCTCATGACAGCCAGCGATGCTGCAAGACCAAGTTGTACCCAGAGAAAAAAACAATGGATATACACAACAAGCTGGGTGGAGGGATCTCCAGGGAATGATGCTTCGTGACAAAAGCCCATCTCAAAAGGTGACATACTGAAGGACCCCGTTTATATAACATCCTTGAGATGACAAAATTATAGAAATGGAGAACAGATTCGTGCTTGCTGGGGCTATGGAGGGAAGTGGGTAGGGCTCTAAAGGCACAATAGGTGATCCTCGTGGTGACGGAAAGGCTCTGCCTCTGGGTTAAGGTCATGGCTGTAACCCATGTGCCGAAGAGGGGGCCTTTCTCAGGCCCAGAGAATCGCCAAAGGGCAAGGTTTGGTTTCAAGCCCGCAGTTGCACACCTGCTGTCAATCACCTGCAGTCCCACATGGACAGCGTCCAAGTGAAGACCCAGGACTGGGAGGGGGGTGGGGGGGTGGGAGAAGGAAGCACTCACTTTGGTGAAGAGCCGCCACCACTGCCAGTTCCGCAGCTTGAGGTAGGCGGCGCAGTTCCTCTGAATCACTTTCATGGCCGTCAGCTGCTGCTGCCTCTTGGCAAAAGCCCTGGGGAGAGGGAAGGGGAGCTGTGAGAAGACCTGCTTGGCTCAACACACACCTCACTGTGTTGTCACAGCATCCCGCCCCGCAGCATCCCGAAGCCAGGACGCTTCTGTTTGGCTTGTGATTTAGTGACTTGTACAAGGACGTCCCCCATTCTCTCCAGCCCAGATTCTCCAGGAAGCTCTGAGCATCAGCAAAAGTATACCATCTGGAGGCCAGAGCCTTTCTCAGTGGACAAGGAAGACCCAAGGCTCACAAAATGCCCCGGATTCAGATCTGTGGTCCTGACAACACCTAGGAAATTGATCTACGCTACACCATTCCTAAGGGGTGTCCTACACCCTCAGCTGTGCCACATCTTCCCCAAAGCTGAGTGTCTGACAAACCTATCCTTTCCTCAGATAATTAAAAATCCCATACCTGACACAGAACCAGCACTCTTCCTACTTAAGGGCTACTGGGTCTGAGAAACCACAGAACAGTGAGCACCATCCTCTCACCTCTGTGCGGCTGCCATTGCGGCTGCCATCTTGGATGTGGGTGAATTTGAAGAATAAAATTGCCCCAGTTAGTTAGTCTGGAGGTGGGAGGGGTGGCAACAGAGAATTTAGTTATGAAATTTAACAGTTTAGGTCTGTCCCTGGGCCAAGAGCTCCCCAGATCTGGCCTTGACCATCCTGGGTCTACTTGACAATGAATCAGCTTGACACAGTCAGGGCTCTGCAGATGAGTGCATGGTCCGTACCTCCTGAAGGCATATGCCCTGGACAAGAGCTACTCTGCCAGCCCCTGTGTCCTGTTTGGGGTGTGAGTTTCATGGAGGAACTGCAGCCCTCACCCAGCCCCCAGGATTCCCAAAACAGCGGGGGCATCAGGCCTTCTAAGACTTTGCCTTATGAGTCCCACTTGGACATAGGGGTATAGACACAAATACTCTTTCCTCAGACACTTTATCATATTCTCACATTACTGAAATGATAGCCAGCCACTGTTCTCAACCCTTTTCATGTAGTATTTCATTGACCCCTCATTAAAAGAAGTTTATGAGGCAGGCATGATTATGCTCATTTTCCTGAGGCTCAGAGGTAGAGTAACCTTCCCAAGGTTCTTCAGCAAATAAGTAGGGGAGCCAGGATGAGAACCCACGTCTAACTCTCCAGAGCCCATGGTCTTACCTCCTTCCTGCCCTGCCCTTATAACTAGTGCATATATTTAAAGTGGTAGCATTTCTCTCCCCCAGGAAAAGGCTGCCATTCAATCAATGATGCATCTTAGAGCAGATGGCCTCTTAGAATCAGAAAATCAGAACATGAGGCCAGAAAGCCCACGAAAATTTGCATTTCTGGTCTGTGTTTGCAGGGAGGCGATGGCGCGTGGGTCTTTACTTTCTGGCCAGGTAACCGCGACACATCGCCTGGAAAGCCATGATGACGTCGGTGATCTTTAAGTCCCGCTCCTCTTCTAGGTGGGCCAGGACGCCAGTTCGGAAGAATATTTTGCTCTGCCCAATCCTGTACAAGTTGGGGTCGAGTTCTAGGGCTTTGATCTGCAGAAGGAAGGAGGAAGAGAGTTCCCGTTCTCGGCTATACCACTTGGCCAGGGGTTAAGTGTGTTTAAGGAGGGTCCCACCCGGAGCAGCTGCGGGAAGTGCCACCAGAGGCCGGGAGGTCTGCAGTTGGGTTTCTGGGCTGGGGCTGGGGCTGGGCTCACCATCAGAATGCAGGCCTGCTTCCCGTCCATGAAGCCTTTGGGAATGGTGTTTGCGGCCAGGATCTCATAGCTTGAGACACAGGGCAGGAGTCACCGACCGAGTGCATCTCTGTCGTCCGTCTGTCCCTCCACCCAGCCTGCTCACCCCCATCCCACCCGCTGCCCCACCCGTGCCCGGTGCCGGTGGGCTCACCGTTGGCGGAACTCCTGGAAGACGATCCTGTTAGGGAATCCCTGGCGGCAGATTCGGATGCCTTCCAAGACCCCGTTGCACCGCAGCTGCTCCAGCACCAGAAAGGCGTCCAGCTTTCCGGACTGCAAAGACGCAAAGGGCAGTGGGCCGCCGGGGCCGCGGGGAGCAGCAAGCCCCAAATCTCAGGCCTGGTGACCCACCTCGCCAGGCCATGGGGGATCACGGGGCACCAGGTGAGAGCTCAGCTGAGGGTTCTGGTGCCACCTCTTGTACTTGGTGGCACTAGCATCACCTGGGGCTTCCTCCTCGTCCCTTCTCCCTCCCTCACTTCCTGTCCATCACCAGTTCTATGACTCCTACCTCCCAAGTATCTCCCCATCTACACACTTCTCTCCACTACCATTGTCACTGCCATCTACTCACCCCCATCTTCTCCTGTCCCAATGATCACAACAGCTTCATACTATCGTCCCACCCCGTCCTGACTCTCTTATCCCCTTATTTGGTTTCTAAAATGTGAATCTGATCATGACATACCCCTGCTTTTAAAAGCCCCCGATGGCATCCTACAGAAGGAAGGCCAAGCTCTGGTCCACCCACAGGAACTCCACAATCTAGCCCCACCCACAGTTCCAGCCTCAGCTCTTCCCAATCCCTGCCTCACACCATCACACGTCAACACAAAATGACCCACCTAGCGTTTCCTTGCCCAGACCCTTCATTTCTCACCTCCACACTTTTGCTTATTCTGGTCCCTCTGCCTAGGATGCCCTTCCCACGCTGCTCTCAGCATCACCAACTTCCCATTCTCTAAGAAGCTTTCTCTGAGCCCTGAGTCTCAAGTGGGAGCCCCAGCTCTTTAGTGTTCTCATAATTTACCCAGATAACATCATGGGTATCAGCTGTCTACCTCTCCCACAACCTCAGCAATACTGACATCTTGGGCTGGATAATTCTCTGTGGTGGGGGACTGCCCTGCACACTGGAGGATGTTTAGCAGCATCCCTGGCTTCTATGCACTGGATGCCAGTAATTGCCCCGTCCCCATTAAAAATGTCTCCGGACATGGCCAAATGTCCCCTGCAGGGGAGGGAGGGCACACAATTGCCCCCAGCTAAAGCACCCCTGCCCTAGATTATAAGAAACCTGCAGGCAAGGACAATAATTTATCCAGCACCGTATCCCCAGCTCCTGGCACAAATGGAGCTCAGTAATTATTAGCTGGAATAATGGACGAACGACTGATCTGATACCCTGTGCAGCCACTCCAGGGCTCAAAGTCCCCGGGTGCATTCTCCTTTCCTCCCTTGCCTTCTTTTGCCTCCAGGCTGGGAAATGAGCACCTCCTACCCATGTCAGATGGAGCCCTCGGGGTGGTGGGGTGGTGGTCAAGCTTTCCTCCAGCCCTTGTACCCCGGTCTGCCTTCCCTTTCCCCACAGACCCTGATGATGTCCCGGGGGGACTTTCTGACCCCCCCAAGAGCCGGGTGGTAGCCTCACCCTCTTCTCATGGTTGGGGATGATGCAGCGCACGAAGTTGGGGGTGGTATTCCGCAGCGTGGTCATCAGCTTCCCCAGCTGCTCCTTGTACAGCTGCCCCACAGTACGGAACATGCCCTTCTTGGTCTTGGAGGCACTGGGCAGTGAGCTCTCCGTCATCTTGGCCATCTGGTCCAGGCCCACAATGCGGTCCACTGTGGGCACATGAAGGGTGATGTCGGCCCACCCAGGGAACCTGAACCTCCACAGCAGGCCAGGGGACCAGCCTGGAAGGTTGAGACCTCAGGTCCCCTGCTCCCTTGTGGGCACCATTCCCCATTCTTTCCTCTGCCAGCCAACACCTTCCCTCTAGAGGCAGGTAAATGGAGGCACAGGGGGCTTTGCTTTCCAAGTACTATATTATCTATTTCTGAGACCCTGAGAGCTCCTGAGTGACAGAAAGAACAAATTCTCTCTGACATTGTCACAGAGACATGGGAGTAAATCCTGCTTTTGCCACTGCCTTGGCCTAGCGTCATTTTGTGCCTCAGTTTCTCCTTCTATGAAATGGAGTTGATGACAGCATCTACCTTCCAGGGCAGGAATAAGTGAATAAGGCTTGCAAATTGCTTACTTCCCTGCCTGCCTTCAATCCTTCATCCACCAACAAATATTTATTGAGAGCCTACTGTGTGTCAGGCCCTGGGCATACAGACATGAACAAAACACAGACCCTGTGTCCCCCTGACCCCAGCTCATATTCTGTGGATATCCTAATGGAAGGAGCAGACAATGATCACACATGTAGGTATATAATATTTGGGGTGGTGAAGGTGTGCTTAGAAAGATAAAGCAGGGTTAAGGTGGGTTGGGAGTGATGGGGGTGATCTCTTAGCGTGATGGGGGTGTCTCTCTGATAAACTGATATTTTTGAGTAGAGACCAGAAAGTATTCAGGCAGATATCAAGAGAAGGAATATTCTGGGTAGAAGGCATAGCAAACACTCCAACATAGGAATCTGGCACTTTGATAAGTGCTCAACAAAGCAACAAAGAGTGGGTGGTGGTATTATTATTATTATTACTATTATCACCACCAAGGCTCTTTTTCTTTCAGAATGGAATGAGAGACTCCTACTGGCCCAGCGGGTGCTGCACATACCAAGCCCAATCCTGGCATTGCTATAAATTTCCCTCAAAGCACAGCTTTTGCTGTATCCCACAAATTTTAATAAGTAGTGTTTTCATTTTCATTTGGTTCAACATTTTAAAATTTCCCTTGAGAAAATTAACAAATGACAACACACTTCTAAATAACACAATGGGTCAAAGAAATTTGTTCTTTGACCCATTGTGTTATTTAGAAGTGTGTTATTTAACCTCCACATATTTTCAGATTCTTCAGTTATCTTTCTGTTATTTCTTGTTATTTTTTTTATTTTTATTTTTTTGCCGTAAGCGGGCCTCTCACTGCTGTGGCCTCTCCTGTTGCAGAGCACAGGCTCCGGACGCGCAGGCTCA